GTGTGTGTGTGTGTGTGTGTGTGTGTGTGTCCATTGCGGAATTCACTCTTCCACTTAGAAAAAGATGGTCATTACACTGAGAACTCTCCTTTCAAAGACGAAACCACTGTATTCTTTTGTTCTGTTTATTTCTTGTTTTCTTTATTTTGAAAAAGAGCATTACTAATGTCCTGTTTGGGGATTTATTTGTTTTGTAAAAGAGATGCTGTAAGAGAGAAATAAATGAAACTAGAGCATTATGCCTCTGAAATTGTCTTTCCTTTTTTTTGTTGTTGTTGTTTTTTTGCATGCACACACATTTGTATCAGCGCCGACCCTCAGACTTTGCCCCCCCCTGAAGTATATCATTAACAGCTTGTGTACTTCTGTGCATGTGAGAGAGAAAGAATCCCATTAATATATTCAAAGAACATAAATAAGAATCTACTCAACAGTAATTTTGCTGAGGATCAATATATTTCTCACTTTCAAAAGTGGCTGTTTGTGCAAAGAGGATATTTAACGTTTGACTTGTCTTAGTGTTTGAGTGTGTGTGTGTGTGTGTGTGTGTGTGTGTGTGTGTGTGTGTGTATCCATGTGCATGTGTTCATGCATGTGTCGGGCGATTAGTGAGTGGACACGGCGTGATCGTGCTTGCAGCTTCATTGATCATTACCCACCTCTTGGCTGACACTCTGGACCCATCATGGACTCTGGGAAGGTAAGATCGTTCTAACTACATTCTTTACATTTTATTAAATTCAAAAGGTTACCCATGTGCTACATGTTTATTCTGAATCAAGATGAGGAATATTTGCAAATGTGTTGCTTTTTTTATGGCTGCTACAAAGTAGTCTAAAAATTGCTGAGACGCTCAGAGATTTTTATGAATTGGTGTGTTCTCTGGTTTGCATTGTCTTTTTGCTCAGGAGGATGTCATACATGCATTTATGTGATGTGTTTTCCATGAGATAAAATATTTAAAAGTACAATTTATCAAGTAATAAATAAAAACATAATTTAAACACCTTTACCCTCATCCACAAAGCAGTTCTAAATCTGATAAAGCCTGTCTCTGTACTTTTGATTTGTGATATCATCATGTGAGTAGAGGTTAGCGTCTGTTCAAACAGCCACGTTCTTGCTTGTCTTGATTACCTCTCACCACCTGCAGCAGCTGACAGGTACGCTGGCATTTGCCGTCTTCACAGCAGCTCTCGGGTCCCTGCAGTACGGATACAGTCTTGGAGTTATAAACGCACCACAGAAGGTACTCTTTACTTTAACACTGCTCCTGTACTGGGTCATTCAATCATCTCGGATTACTTATATTTTCAGGCAACTGAACCAAATGCTTACTCCAACCTACAGCCATGATGCTCATATAATGTTTCTGCAGCACCGGAGTGAACATAACAATCAGAGAGAAAAAAATATTTGCCTTTTCTCAGTATCGACAAAAGCAACTTTTCCTCCAATTGCCTTGTGTAGCAGTCTGAACATCGTTGGCCCCTGCAGTGTGGATTACATCTCTGTCTGTGTGGAGGACCTCAGAAAGGATAGACAGAAGCTCAGGCTGTGTGGAGATGCTCAGGACATTAAACTTTTCCACTGAGTCAAGGATGAAATATATGAAAATGTCTCTAGCTTAATTAAACCAGAGCAGGAGGTTATATTAATGCACATCACCTGAGCTTTGCAGGTGATAAGGTTGAAACCTTTTTGCTTGGAAAAATGTCAATATGTGGTAATTGCTGGCAGGTATGGCTAGGTTAAGAGCCGTACTTTAAAGAAGTAGCATTGGCCTGTAATTTTCTGTGATTGGTTGTGCAAATTGAGCTTGAATAAGGTGTTCCATTACACTATGTTCTGATCCGCACCTATAACGATGTCCCTGTGCAGTGTCACTGTGCAGACATGGCCCCAAGATATAAATATATATATTTATATCAGCAAGCTGAAATAGAAACAAGTAGAAGACACCAAACATACACAGGCTGTGAACCAAGTACGCTCCTTAACTATTAACAAGTGGTTGGTGCAAACTCCAAATATGACATTAAAGTGACACAGCGACATGTTCTTTGGACAGGTTCAGACCTAGAACCTTTTTGCTTGTAAGGCAAATTTAATGTTACATAATGAATGTCAGGACTATGAAACATACTTGCAGCTGAACACCCCTCACCTCACCCTCCCCTTCCAAACATTAAAACGAACCTGTGGTAGCTTCAGTTGTCATAAAATCTCAAAAGGTGTTTAGTTTGTTCAGTCTGGACTAATGTAAAAAACATGGTGGCCTCCATAGAGAGGGTCCCCTCAATGTAAATATGAAGTATTTAAATATAAAGGGCTTTTTCTGGGGTAAAGAAAACTACAATTCATACAATTTAGATGAAACAAACTAGTGAAAACATCATGAGGATTATTCTACATTAAATTTCTATCAATAGTTCCCTTTCACCTAAATCTTACACACTGGACCTTTAAGATGATTGGAATGGATCCATTTACGTTTCTGTTTGTGAATATTTTGTGCTTGCCTTTTCTTTTCCTGTCTCTGGGTGCACAGCTGTGATTGACATGCCTCTATCATAGGTCATTGAAAAGCATTATGGACGCTCCCTGGGGGTCTGGACAGAGAGGACCACTGTGCTTCCAGAGAACAGCACAGAAGAAGAGGAGCTGCCGGAGGTGGGAGACGACCCTGCTGTGGTCATTTACTGGTCCCTGTCGGTGGCAATCTTCTCCATAGGCGGCATGTTATCCTCCTTCCTGGTAGGATTTGTGGGAGACCTGAAAGGGAGGTGAGAAAGGAAGGATGTAATAATGAGGCTGAAAATGGGAGATGGAGACAAGCATCAGTGGGAGAACATTGACAAAATTGAAGATAAACCAGGATCAATGTGGAATCATGCCACAGCACACATATCCCTCTACTTTTTCTGTGCATCTCTCTCTGCCACCTTTCTGTCTCTTTGTTTTTCAGGGTGAAAGGCATGTTAATGGTCAATGTTCTGGCTGTGGCTGCTGGTCTGCTGATGGGTCTTTGCAAGATGTGGAAACCTCACATTATGGTCATCTCAGGCCGCGCTGTTATGGGCTTTTACTGTGGTACAGTGAAACATATACTACAACCTGCAAACCAATACTCATGTGAATTCATTGGAAATCCCAGTGTTTATGGATTATACACTATAGAAGAGGCAAGTTGTCCTCATTATCACCAGTTATTTCCTTGAAAGCTAAGTATTTAACATACAATATGAAACATACAAATCTACATCTTTCTGATTTTCTCAACAACCGTTTATACGACTTCAATCTCGCCAAGTGCATTTCTGAACATACCAGGAATTGCTGCATCAACTGTGGATTATTATCATTGTACAAAAGAAAGCAGTACAACGAAATTAGAGTTGCTACTCTCAAAAGGTTCAGTGTATAGAATTTAGTGATATCTAGTGGTTAAATTGCATGTTGCAGCTGAATACCCCTCACCTCACCGTCCATCCAAATGAAAGAGAACCTGTGGAAACCTTCAGTTGTCATAAAAACTCAACAGGTTGTTTCGTTTATCTAGTTCGGGCTACTGTAAAAAACATGGTGGCCTCCAAAGAGAGGACTGTAAATATAAAGTGTTTAAATATAAAGGGTCCAATTTAGAGTCAAGAAAACAACAGTTTGTACAATTTTGATGAAACTCACTAGTGAAAGCAACACTAAGATTGTTTTATATACAATTTCTGCCAATAGATCCCTTTCACCTAATCTTACACACTGGACCTTTAAAACAGTGTAAATTTATAAGAGATATCAAAAAGACAAAAAACAATAAACATGAGACTGATAGATATTGAGTGGCTACACATTTGTTATAGCACAAAATGGATGTTACACTTTAAAAGTTGATGATGATGATGATGATGATGATGATGGCGGGGGACAGAAACTGTCCTTGAGTCTATTTGTTTGAGTTTCGATGCAGTAAAGTGCAGTCAAGAGAACATTTCATGATGGAGGACGGGAAGGGTTTATTAGTTTCCAGGCTTTGCAGAGACAGAGCTGGAGATGTCTTCCAGAGATGGCAGAGAGCAGCCAATCATTTCTTCAGAAGTTTTTTTATCACATATCACATACTGCAGAGCTCTCCTATCTCTCTAAGTTGTCAACAGTTGTCCAAACCGCAAGGCTAACCCTGACCTGCCTATTTATTTTAAAATCAGTGACATCATGGATTTTTTTGGCTTTGCGAGAACCCATTACTCGCAAACGTAACTATTGACAGGCACATTTTGGCACAAAACAAAGCCTCGTGCTGTGAATAGTGTTTGTTGAATATTGCTCAGCACGTGATGTGTGTGTTTCAGGGTTGACATCTGGACTGGTGCCTATGTACATTGGAGAGATTGCACCCAAGGCCTACAGAGGGGCTCTGGGAACGTTACACCAGCTGGCTATTGTCATCGGTATCCTAATCAGCCAGGTGAGCTGCTCTCACACGTGCACTGCAGTCAGCAACATATTTGCTGACAACAAATCAAACATATTTAAAGTGTGTGTGTGTGTGTATGTGTGTGTGTGTGTGTGTGTGTGTGTGTGTGTGTGTNGTGTGTGTGTGTGTGTGTATGTGTGTGTGTGTGTGTAGGTAGCAGGCTTGGACTTTCTGCTTGGTAACGATGATATGTGGCCGTTGTTGCTTGGTCTGTCTGGGGCTCCGGCAGTATTACAAACGCTGCTGCTGCCTCTGTGCCCCGAGAGCCCGCGCTACCTTTACATTCTACTGGGCAAAGAGCAGGAGGCTCAGAAAAGTAAGAACTACACACAGTCCTCACTTTCATCTGTGTGTGTGGTGCTCACTGAGTCAAACACTACACACTCAGTCATACAGACATGGGCTGTGTCCAAAATCACTCACTAATCAATATATAGTGA